GAGACGGGGACGGGAGACGGGGACGGGAGGCGGGGACGGGAGGCAGACAATGGAAATGACAGAAGAAGACAGAGAAAGATTCGAAAGCAGAAAAGACGAAAGAAGATTTTTTTGTAAGAGGAGAACGTTTTCCGTCGCTGTCAGGATTCGAACCCGGAACCTATTGAACGAGAGGCGTACACCGTAACCTCTAAACCACGAGAACCCCCTTTGCGACCTTTAAGAGGCAATCTGTCTCGTGCTGTCCACCCACATGCATTCCCCACCGCCCACCAACATTACGAAATCGCCCTCCTTATGGACGATATCACCCATCTTGGCAAGCAGTAATCTTAAGAGTGTCCAAGGAGACGATAAAACTACTCTCCTACACTTTTCATCTCTATTTATTTCTCTTTTTGCCTTAAAAAAAACCCAGCATTGGCCATACCGCTTCTGTAGATCCCATGGATTGACGAAAACAAAAACCAATGGTAGCGGGAAAAAACAATCTTTGTTTTAAGCTGAAATATTTCCTGCTGAGTAATTCGTGCTCTAGGACGGAGAAAGTAAAGTAAAATAAAGTAAAGCTGACTAATCGCGTATCTTTGCATCAGTTAAAGCCTTTGGTCAGTCACCTTTAGATTCGGTTTATTGTAATTTCTCACCCTGATAGACATAAAAATTATTACTACGAAGTTTTAGTTTCAGTTTAGTTTTAGTAAGATTTTACGGCACCTGCAAAACAATAAAGTTATATAAGTGTCGAAGATTAGAAGTGTTACAAAAGAGCAACGTACAAAGAATAGAAGGAGGAGAGATACGAGATAGGACGATAGATGTTTGATACGAAAGAAGGAAAGAAGGAACAAACCACACCAGAGCACCCGCCAACCACGCACAAACCTCCCTTGGCAACATCGTATTCTTGCCACCTCTTAGAGGCTGCCAGTTGTGTACTGTCCACCTACATATCATTGTATTCCCAAGCGAGGCATTAAATCAGTAATACCGGTCACTACCCGGGTGACCCCCCACTGACCACCAACATTACGAAATCGCTCTCATTACAGGAGATACCTCCAAGGTTGTAAAACACAGAGTTCCCACTCATCAAGGAGTTTCCCGTCCCCCACCCCCTCACCCCCCCCCCTTCTCCGGTTTCCTCCTGAATTTGCAACCATTTTCAAAAGGGATTTATCTTTTTAGTTTAGTTTTAGTAAGAGTTTTGCAGCACTTGCAACACAATAAGGCCATATAAATGCTGAAGAATAGATGTGTTACAAGAGAGCAACATACACAAAAAAAGGAGGAGAGATGAAGACGATAGATGTTTGATAGGAAAGAAGGAGTAAACCACACCAGAGCACCCGCCAACCACCCACTTAAGTTTTTAAGATGACAGAGCTAGGAAGAAGAAATGAAGAGAAATTCAAGGTAAAAATCGTGCCATG